TATCTTTCATCACACAGAGGATATGAGGGCGAGCTTGGTGTCAAATTTAAGGTATTGAAGTCCACTACAACTTTGTCCAAAGTGTGAAAATTTATTTAGGCCTCTAAGCTGAAGGGATTTTAGAACATGGACGAAATTAATTTCGGGATTGCTCCAACTAAACCCCATCTAAACAAACAATTCAATCCATGAAACTTGATAAAAAAATGGTTCATGATTCGGCGTCTCACCTAGGGCAACCACAAAAAGCACGCCGACGGAACTCCTAGCCTCTACTCCTTCTTTCTCTTCTCTTCTCTTCTCTTCTTCTTCCTATCCTCCTCCAACGCATGACAATTCTTGCCGTTTCAAACCTCTCGCCATCACAATCTACTCCAAACGTATCAAATCCATCATGGATAGCGAGGGGAATGAGAGATTGATGGGGAAAATTGAGAGAGGATATGACGCCAAACCAGTTTTAGGGAAGAACGACACGATGAGCAGTGACGACAGCAAACCCTAATCCATCATTTTCCTCTTCTCCCCTATGCTCCTTTCTCCTTGGCGTGGAAAAGAAGGGTGACTGTTGTGCCGGGTAGTCTCGACTAGAAAAGAAACATACTCCCTCTGTCCCACAATAGAAGTCGTTATAGGATGCGTGTAGGTCAAACTTTCTCAACTTTGACTAGGTTTGTAGAAAATGCGTGCAACATTTATATCTTCAAATAAGTTTATTATGAAAACATATTCAATAATCTATCTAATAATACTAATTATGTATTATAAATATTAATATTTTTATATATAATTGGTCAAAGTAAAAAAAACTAACTTCTCGGGTAGCGAGAACGACTTCTATTTTGGACAGAGGGAGTACCTAAGGTTGGACTGGGTCCCATTGTGGGACTGTAGCAGCGTCCGTACTGTAGCTGAGTTAGGACTTTTCCCTTTTTCCTAAAGCTCACAACATATGTAAATTCATGATCCAAACTTCGATTAATGTATATAAGTAGTCGAATGGAATGCTCTCGATAAGCTCTACACAAATATGGCCTCCAATCATCCACACAAGGAATAGATCAAAAGCCAATTTTTGGCCTCTCTTTAAATTGTCCGGTCAACCTTATTTTAAAAAAAAATCCATACTAAAACCCTTAATTATTTCTTATTTATTCTGGGGTATTACAAGTTGTGTTGTAATTGGTTGTTAGCATAATCATAGTTGTATGATAGTAAGATAATGATAGTATCTTTGCACCTGTTCACCGCCCTTGGTACTCTAATCAATATCACCAAAATTCGGATTAGAGTAGTAAGACAGTGTAGACATGGTGTCTAGACTATATGCTTACTTGTGTCTGCGGCTTGCCCCACGGTTTGTCTTGTGGTAGTTAGCAGGTGGTGATAGCCCTGTCCGATCTCTATATTCCACCATGTTCAGGCAAGTTCTTAAAATGTAGGTCTTCCATGCTCGATGGTTTAGCACCCTTCTCGTCCCTTTCTATTGCTAAGTGGCCTTGTGACCTGAAGTACATTTGTTTATGAACATTATTGTTCTTGCTTGATAAAATTTGTCTTGCTAAGCTAGAACCATATGAGTAATGATAGATCTTTGGAAATCTTGTGCTCACTCATTGTCCTCCCTACTAGCTAGACTGCTCCTGTGTGTGTCATCACTCATATTATATATCACTCACCCCCACTCTAGTTTAGTTGGTATATATTAGTTAAGGGATCCATCTTGGTTAGCTATCATATTGTTTAACTATTGCTTCCCTAAGGATAAATACAATACCAAGGAATACTCCTTGGTGAAGTGCTACAACGGTATTCTATGTGCTTGTGGAAATTCTACTTGAGCATAAGAAATGCCAACAAGCAACATGTATGACGACATGACAGATGTTTGCAACAGAATATGAGGATCAAGAACTTGCGCATATATAGATCATGACATGCTTTGGAGACTACAACAATGGATGTATTTGCCAACCAAGAATGGAGTTTTAACAACATGTTATGCTAAAGGCTATAAATCTCTTTTATTAAACATTTCATCCTTGATGAACTATATGCATGTTTGCTTTTGCTGCAAGTGTAGCTATGTAATAAGGAATGGCTGAAGGATCTTACGATGTGGTGGCTGGAATTATTTTTTCATTCCATTAGCAAAAAAAGCAATATGGGTGTTACCGAGATCGAGGTAGTGGGTTACTTGTGTGGATATTCCTATATATATTTTTCTTAGATTTGTATATCCATTTCACCTCAACTCCTCAAGTTAATAACTCCTCCCCTATTCCAAAATGTACGATGTTTTTATTTAGCTTAAAATTCTTAAATCAAACTTATTTAGATTGGACTAAGTTTATAGAAAAAATTAAGTAACTTGTACATTATTTTGGAACAAATGTTTGATTTGGGAACCACCATATAGTCCAAGCTCTCTAGAATTAACTGTTACTTGTTCTAAAAAGATATTCGGATGAATTATATGGACTTAGCATGATTGCATTAATGAAGCGTATTTTCATAAGAGTAAAATGTACCATGGGTCCTTAAAACTTTTCATGGATTCTCATCTAGGTCCTCGAACTAAAAAAGTGACCATCTGAGTCCTCAATCTACTGTGGATTCTCATCTGGATCCTCCAACTAAAAAATAACTATTTAGGTCCTTCAACTAATGCTACACCTGAGTAGAGGTCCCAATCCCACCATGCCACCTCTATCTGCCTACGTGGTTCTGCCAGTATGGATGAGGCCAGGTGAAACTTGCAGAAAAAAACTACCCTCCCCCATCTCCTCTATGTCCACTTCCTCCTCTTTCTACCATCGGTCACGTGCCCATCACACCAGCTGAGCCCACGTGCTCGCTTGCACCATGCGTAGGCTTTGTGGCTACACCTGAGCTCTGAAGGTAAATGCTTAGAAGCCACGGAATACATAAAGAGAGGTGGACTGCAAGAGAGGGAGAAACTACAAGAGGAGAGATCAAGAGGCAATTTTTTGCAACTTTAATCGGCAGGGCCACGTAAGCAGGCATCAGGCGTTTCGGTTTTGGACCTTTAGTCGAGCGCAATAGTAGATTGAGGATCCAGATGATCACTTTTTTAGTTTGAGGAACCAAGTGAGAATTAACAATGGATTGAGGATCAAGATAGCCACTTTTTTAGTTCAAGGACCCAATTAAGAGTCCATAAAAAGTTTAAGGATCCAGGGTGCATTTTACTCTTTTCATAATATAATGCCCTTTCAATGTTCATAATACTTTAGGACAGAGGAACTAGTAGACTGCTGGCCTGTGTATATGAAATCCATGGCATAATAAATATAAGAAAACTAAATCAATATTATATACTCAATGCATGCTTAACCAAAAGGCATAGATCCAGAAGAAATCCTGCACCTTTTCAAGGGATCTTAGTGAATTATCTGGAAATCAACTTTTTTCTGTTGAGCTATTAATGCTCATGACATACATAATATGATATCAGAAGTTCATCATTGCAATTGATGTGTAGGAGGACAACTGATAATGCTATAATACCAATGATGTTATTAAAATCTCACGAATCAATGAATTGATAGGATAGGTTTGTTTTAATTTGAGTGGGAACAACTTTGAATTTTACGTAGCGCTCATGTCTACTTCCTTCCTATCTGAGATCTACATATCTCAACCATTTAATTTTACACTTTCGTGACTTTCTATTGTTTGAATGGTGCTCAAATACGAACAAATCGTTTCCAGATTTTGTAGTATATATAAGATTTCGGTCTCTGTCCAAAAAAGTACGTCCTGAAGTCATTGTATCGACTGCAATACGATCCAAAATTTATGACTGCCATTTGTTCAAAGTCATCCGGTTATGGACAAGACGCTATAAGCCACTCGGTTGAACTACTCTTTACACACTCCTGTTTCTGGTGAAGCAGACGCAAAAACCATGGAATCAGCCAAAACAAAGCATAAAGCAGAAAAAAGTGTTGTCTAATCCTGTTGCAAAAACCTGTTTTTGCAAAAGGTCTTAGAGAACCAAAACTAAAGTACCCTGCTGTCCTAGTACTTAATGGATCCATGTTGAGAGGGTAAGTAGTTGCACGTTCAATTCGTGTGTGTGCGCACGCCTTTCTGATCTTTGGTTGAAAGATTCGAAAATTCTTTTCTTCGAGGGGAAACATTGGGCGTATAAGTTTTATATATATGTCAAATTAAACCTTTAGGTGGACATTTGTCACTCTCTCTCTCTTGTTTTGTATTTGACCTCATAGTACCACTAATTTTGCTGTCTAGAAAGGTAAGATGACACAATCATGTAGGGAATCAGTTAAGCTAGTTGATGTTTTATTTGCTCCCTCGTACTTACTCTGCTTTAATTTCCTTTTTTTACTGACAGTTCTGGACTTAAGCAGGAGTACGTTTCAGAGATGTACTTAGAATATTACAAGTGTGATATATTAGCACTTTAATTTGGGCGTCAATATTTTTTTTAGAAAGATTGGCATGCCCTCTAGTATGTCCAGTAAATTAATAGTTACGTACAAAGGCCACATTTGGCTCTGCGTGGCTTCTTCCGGCTCGATGTTTATTTTGCCAAGAGAGAGAAAAATGCACCTGCAAACATACGAGGTGTTGGAGGGTTAGAGCCCCAAGAAACCCTACCAAACACACCCAGAATGATGAGTAGGATGAACCTTCTTTACCAATCCATTTGCTATGGGCACCACCACAACATATGACTTTTGTGTCCCAGTACTCTCTCCCCCTTGAGCCTCAAGCCTCCCAAAAAATCCATCCCCATCGAATCAAAGGCCCCTTATATACACACACACCCTCCTCCTCACTCACTCTCAATCACATCCCTCATTCAATTGTGTACGTGTTGTGCCACACACCTTTTCTAGCTCGTTGCAACTTCTTCCCAACCAGCTAGCTCTCTCTGCAAAGTGCAAGGCATCTCTCTCTCTCTCTCTCTACATCCATCCATTTCTCTCTCTTTCATATGAGCAGAGCAGATGATGAGCTCCTCCAGTAACAAGCAAGAAGGACCCAAGCTCTTCAGCTCGAGGATCCTCTCAAGGGATCGCTCGAACGTGACCAACGCGTCCTTCAGGGTATACTACAGCCTGGGCGCCGGCACCGTGCCGTTCCTGTGGGAGTCCAAGCCAGGCACGCCCAAGAGCTCCGTCACCCCGGCCTCGGCCGCCGCCGCCAGGACCGTGCCGCCGATCTCGCCGCCGCCTTCCTACCAGCAGTCGGTGTCCCAGTCCAAAGTTAAGAAGTTGAGGAAGAGGTCAGCCTCTTGGCCTCCCGGAGGTTGGATCATCGGCTGGCTGAACCTGAACATCAGGAGGCGGTCACCGCCGTCATCGCCAACGGATCACCAGCAGCAGCAACGCTGCCTTGCCGTGGACCATGGCGGCGACGAGCGGCGGTCTCGGCGTTCCACCTTTTGCTTCTGAATTCTGATGAGCTATCCATAATGGACCGGTGGATTAGCTGTTGCACTACGTGCGGTGTTATATTAATTATTAGTTGTTAGTTTTTTACACAGTGCAGGATCGCGCGTCAGAGTGGTACGTACGTGTTTGTGCAGTTGGATTTCTTTTTAATGTTCTAGGTTGGACTCTTTCCATTTCCACTTTTCCAGTGTCCAGTTTTATTTGCATATATAGACATCTTATTATAGTGTTTGGTTGTTTTGAGTATGAATAAGTGGGTATGCATGCATGCATGCATGGTTACTGTGTGTTGTGTTCTGTGTCTTTATGCACAATATAGAAAAATCAAGTAAATATATATTTATGTTTCTTCAAAGATCAATCCATGCATGTATCCAATTAATCACAGGCAAATAGAGTAAGTTAAGCATTTTTCAGCAATAAATAAACCAGATCAAGTTAGTAGATGTGGTTATTTGCAGGTAATGCTGTTTTAGCTTCACCTGGGAATTGTAGTCCACGAATATATGCTTGTTACTTACTCCTCTTGTTCTAAAATAAAAGTCATTCTCGTTTTTCGATAAGTCAACTTTTTTAACTTTGATCAGTTATATATAAAATAATATTAATATTTATAATACATAATTAATATCATTATATATATCATTGAATATACTTTCATAATAAACTTATTTGAAGATATAAATATTTCACGTATTTTCTACAAACCTAGTCAAAGTTGAGAAAGTTTAATATCCACGCATCCACTAACGACTTTCTTTCTAGACGGAGAGAGTACCTCTTAACAAAAGCAAGAAGGAGTTTAAAGCAATCGGACAAAAATCGGGATGCTTGACCTTTCTTTGTCAAGCTATATATACATTATGTTTCACTATCACTGGTGGGCCACCGCCTAGGATTAACATGTTGATATCAATTGATTATCTTACTATTACTATTCTCTTTTTTTAATCACAAGACATACATGTGCGCATACTCATCTTTATAAATGCACGCACACGTACTACCCTATTAACACCTCCCAAAGACTAAGCTGCGCCTCGCTGTTAATTGGCACTCACGTCAAGTCGAGGCCTTGAACCTAGATAAGAAGGTTTAGGGGTGGGTAAATAATACCTGATACCCAATCCCCGAACAAGGATTATCTAAACTCAGATCCGAAGCACCCGAATTGGAAATACCCCGTCCTAATTTCGGATACTAACTATAAAAACCCGATTTTAGTTTGTGTAATGTTTTTTGATATCCGAACTACCCGAGATATCTCAGATCTTTGCTCTTCTATACCTAATATGAAGACATAAAGTGGTAGTGCAAATCTATTATTTGGTATGGCTCAATGCAGATCTATGCTAATTTGATAATTGATTTGTTGTTAATTAAAATGAACACATGACGTGATTTGAGCGACTGTTGTTTATTGCTTTAAAATTCTACTAGAATTTTTTGAAGACCACTTGTTTTTGTCAATCTCGAGTATATCGGGTAAAACCTAAACCCTAAACTCGAGCTATCCGGTACGCGAAATTTCGAGTAATGTTTTCTCGGGACCAAAATCAATTAGTAATTTTTAACACCTTTCCTATACAGCAGTCGCCTGGAATCTGCGTTCCCGTCAGGCGACGCCTTGTCTGTTGATGCAAGTGGACGATCTCTTGGGTCCGTTTTGGGTTCGGATGTAATCCATTTACAATCTACACCCGTTAAAACACCCAACACACACCGCTCCCTCCCGCAGCCCACTCTATCTTGGGCGCCGCCCGTGCTCGAGTGCTCAACGACTCGCTCGTCTCCGGCTCTCCTCCCTCTCTCCCAGTCCTAGATCTGGCCGATCTGTCTCCTCCGGCTCCCGGCAGCCTCCCACCACCGGCTGCGGTGGCGCTGGCGCATCCCCTTCTCCTTCCCTTCAGCACCACAGTCGGCCCCCAGTCGAGGAGGTGGTGCACGCGAGGGGCAGCGCGCGGTGGGGCAGTCGTCCGTCCGTCGGCGGCGCCTCACCGGCGGTCGTCCCACATTTTGGTATCCTCTGGCGAGATCGGCATTCTAGGTGTGTCCGCTGTTGGAGATCTCCGAGGATCTCCAGCGACATCCTCTGGTGCGTGATTCCTCCCTGTGCTTTCATGGGCGTCGTCGAGGTAGATCCATGGAGCGGCTGCTGGCTCAGGTTTGGATTTCTGTCTCTAGATGGATTTCTTGTTCCTACAAGTCCTGTCCTTGCAAGCTACACCTTCTATGAATTTGCTGCGGTTTGGCTAAACTGGCTTGCCTACTCTCGATGATTCGTTTAGATTGTTCTCTGTCAAGTGTCGATAGAGTAGTTTCATATTTTGACCACGTTTCTCCTTGTACAGAGGCATGCGTGTCACCAGTTCTCAAATGGGGAAAAAATTGGATCAGGGACCTATTACAAATCTAGATCTGTTACTTTGATTTTTACTGTCTACGATATGTGGCTAGTTTAGCACCGGTATTGTTGCCTCTGGAATGGGATGTTTTTTATGTGGGGGATCCATGCATGCGCCCCGGTTCAGTTTGCAACGACTTTGCATTCTTTGTAATGGTTCAGATAGCTCATGATTAGTATTTACAAAATCAGAACTATAAAATAGAGCAGAATAACTATTTCTGTACGTTCTGTATCTGCTCTGATGACCCATTGATGCAAATTATTTGCTTCTATTTAGGAGGAATGCCTAATGACGCCCTGTACCGGGAGCTGTGGCATCCGTGTGCTGGGCCATTGGTGGAACCTACACACCAGAAATGGGAATAGGCTCATGTTACGGCAGCGCCTGCTTCACCTGCACTGCCTGAAGAACCTGCGGAGGAGGAGCGAACATGTCAAGTTTCCAAGTACTCGTACTACTGGGACTCAATGGGCTTGATCCCTAGGCAGTTGAAGCAGCTGTGCTGCTGGGACAACCCATCGGCAAGCCGGACGTAGGAGCTCTGCTCAGAGAGAGACAACAAGTATTGAACTCAAAAACAACCCCAATCTAAGAACGCTTCCTCTCGCCTATCCCCGTGCTCTGCTTCCTCCTTCCCCAAGTCTATCTTCCCTTCTCATCCCCAATTCAGGTACCTTAACAGCTCAGCTTGTGGGTACTGCAGGTAGCTAGCTTAACTTGTAAGTATGGTAAATTTTTGATTCGTTTCCTTATCATCTTATTCAATTCTATCCAGAAAAAAACGTATTTAAATATTACCAGCAATACATATAAGTTTCCTTGCATAAGAAAACACGTACTTGTAAAGAAATCATTGAGGACCATTGTGTCTTGATTTGAAGCGATTTAAACTGTAATAGGAAAAGGTACAGATACTAAAAGTTTCGTCAAAAGCCCACTCCACTAATGTTATGTTAGTAGGTCACGCATTGCTGTGTATGGTGACAGCTCTGTTAGGAAATTTTATTATAAATCTGACCCTAGGCCCCAGCTGGGATTTTTGATAGGCCGGTCATAGTTCCTAGTGGCCTTTTAAATGTCAAGACCTGTTCCCTGACTATCCAGTTGTAATCTTTTGTGTAGTTGGACAGCCAAGAGATCAGATCCTTACATCGAATCTGTCCCTGGAAAAGAAAACACACTCACATGTGAAACCTACCTAGAAAAGTGGAATTTATTAATGAATCTCCAGTAGATTGCTAGCTCAGAAATAGCAACCGGTGCAACTTCTCGCTGTATCCATGGCCTGAAGGAAGATCTGGATTGCTGCTGCTCACCATCTGTCATAGTTTGCAGCTTTATGCAACAGTAAACATCATTAGAACCTCACCAAGTATCTTTCCAACAAATCTTTCTAGTGATATCATCCTTAGGTTTGGAATAATGCAGGCCCCATAACAAAAGCACAACAGTAGAATTGAATCTCTATATCTACAGCACATGACAAAAGTTGCACATGAGCGGCTCTTGTGTTTAGTTTTTAACTGAATCTCTGTATCTACAGCAACGAAGATTTGTAGTACAATCCTTGTCTCAATATTGGGCTAGATTTGGTGTTCAGTCCTTGTCAAGGCTTTCAAGCATCTGAGACGAGTATGTTTTCTCTGAAATTTACTGGCCACTGCAGTTTTCTGAATTTCAGTCTACAGCTCGTTTCTCATTCAGCTGCACTGGTTATCAGTTTGTCTGTTGAGTTTTGAAACCAGCATAACACTTGTCTTCCTTTTTCCTTTTCAACAGAGCCATCGACCTCAGCACGCAGCTCCCTGCTCCTGCCCTCGGGGCACCACCATTTGTGGTTGCCTTTGCGGATGTCGTTGGTGTCATCTTCCTCAAGACGACTGGTCGGCTCTACACTTTTGATCTCAAGACTGGGCAGAGCATTTTGAAGGTGGATTATCATGCAGAGCTCATTGACTTGTAGGTTGCAGTCATACATGGAGATCTAAGTGCTTTCCAGGAGGATTAGCAATCAGTTCATCTTGTAGTTCGAACTTTGGTAAACACCTTGTATTGGACCATCTTTGTACATTGTTGAGTGTAAGTATAACATACTGATGGAATCATGCTCGCTGCCTCCATGTATATACATCTTGTAGTTTAATTTTGAATAGTTGTCTGTAGTATCCTCTTCTTGGCTATATATGACCTTGGGAGGTTATCTGGTCAGATAGTGAGTACATCACATATATGACCATGTATATTCGATTGTTCAATCGATCTCCCACATCCAACATGTGCGTACAGCTACAGGTCATATACAGCCCTGTGTGACAGGTAGTTGATGTGCCTCTGGGGAAGATGTACACTTGTAGTTAGTTTTGGATAGATTGCCTGTCTTGTGGCTGTTGTAGTAGAATAAGAGGAGCTCACATCTTTTAACTGTGTGTTGCATATACTGTACAAGAAAGCTGTGTTTAGTATCTATTTCTTGATTGCACATTTATAAGTACTAAATTGCATACTTAAATTATTGCAATTATGGTGTTTAACATGTGCAATATCCGGTCTTTATCTATAACTTCCCCTATTTTGTTTTCCAGCCAACATGAAATGATGCCTCTTATCTACGTCAAGTTGTACAGGTTTGTCAACCAGCATCTTAACACTTGTTGTATGCAATTTTTTTTTGAAATATTCTTATCATAGGCTACTCATATTGTTGAGTGGGCATCGGTGGTTTGTCTCACTAAGTAACATGTATGATCAATATGCTACTTTTGCCTGTTATAATGGATTGTGATCCAACACACATAAAATAGATTTTTCCTTGTCCTTTGTTTATTGTGATTTGTGCCAGCACACACCACATTTTTGTCCTTATCCTTTCATAGAAAAAAAATATTTTTTGTGATTTATGCCAACACATTTAAGATATTTGTCTTTGTATTTCTATAGAAAAAACTGTAGTTTGTTAATTGTGATTTGTGCCAAACACACCATATTTTTGTCCTTGTCCTTTCATATAAAAATTGTTTTTTTTTTTGTGATCTATGCCAATACATTTCATATATTTGTCTTTGTCCTTCTATAGGAAAAATTGTAATATGTTTTTGTTGATTTGTGCCAGCACACACCATAATTTTGTCCTTGTCCTTTCATAGAAAAAATATTTTTTTGTGATTTGTGGCAACACATTTCAAATATTTGTCTTTATCCTCCTATAGAAAAAAATTGAATCTATTAATTGTGATTTGTGCCAATAGAGACCCCACAAACTCAGCTCCTCCTCCCTTCAAATATTCTCTCACTTGTGTGGGTCAGGCCATTGCTAGCCTGGACCTGGACCACTGGCTGGTTCTCTTCTTCCCCACCCACCCACACACTCTCTCTCAGTCTCTCTCTGTCTCCCTGCCCTCGCAACAGCTAGCCAGAGGACAGTTAGAGCTCTCTCCTCTCTCACTCTCATCATTATTTATCATGTGATCTGTTTTCTGTGGAATTTGTACAAAATCCATTCATACTAAGGGTGCACAAGGTCTTTTTCTGTACAAGTTTTTTTTTTGTTTTGTGCATGATCTTATCGCATTGTCATATACTGTGGAAGTGTGGATACGCTTGAGTCAACTCCAGAAAAAGAATACAGCTAGCCAGAAAAAGAAGTGTTGATGAGCTCTTTGTTTGTATCATCAGTTATGATCTAGCAAAATACTATGAAATTAAAATGTTGATATTTATCATATGCCAGCTAGAGAATCTGTTACTCGATGTTGCTGGAAACCTCAATTTCAGATTTCAGGTTAAGTGCTTTATCAGACCAAGTGAAGGTACTATCAGACAAGATACTACAGAAACTATTGTGCTTTATTTCTTTCTGTGTCTTTCTTTCTTTTGGTTTCACTGCATTTCACTAATTTACACCGCAATCTTGAACTAATTCAATGCTAACAGGATGATGGATTGCTGCATACTCCATGTGAAACACCAAAGTATGTTGCTCCAGAGGTAATATTTGTTTGCACGTCTCTTCATTTTTTCGTTTTAGCCAGAAATAAGTTTGCATAATACAGATTGCTATCCAATATGTAGGTGATCCTTGCTGACCTTTGGTCTTGTGGGGTGATCCTTTTTGTGCTGCTCTCGCAGGATGTCTGCTTTTGAGGATGACAACACGGCTTCCCTTTATAAAAGGTATATACATGAAACAACTACTTCTTTGACCAAACAAAAACCTAGCACACGAAAAACTAACATTTTAGGATACATTTTCTTTTATTTTATCTCTGTTGCAGATCTCAGGAGCTCAGTTTACTTGTCCATCTTGGTTTTCTGCTGGAGCAAAGAGGCTAATCGACAGAATTCTGGATCGGTGGATCCTAATGATTCCACTGTGAGTCACTACTTAAACATGAATGTGGAAAATAACAATTTTCATGAAACACAAGTGACAGCTTGAAGTAAGTACTAGATGATTTTCAGAATGAACATTTTCACTCTCAGATCACCACTGCTTGTCAGTGCCTATGTTGTTTGTGGAATGCCATCTTACTTGTTTTTTATTTGTTACTTTAACAGCGGATTACAACTCCTCAAGTACAAAACGATCCATGGTTTAAAAAAAGGTTACAAGCAACCTATTTTCGATAAAACATGTCAAGCTAGTCTAGATGATGTTGATGCTGCCTTTGGGGACTCAGAGGTGAATTAATTGATTAAACCAGATTATATCACTTAAAAGTATAAGGATTTTGTAGTTGAAATAAGATTATTAAATTGATGGTGTTGTATATTTTTCAGGAACATCATATGATAGAGGAAATGGAAGGGCAACCAGCCCCGATGAATGCATTGAATTTATTTCAATGAACAAGGGACTGAATCTAGATTTTTTTTGAATCTGATAAGGTAAGGATATATTCAGTTTCAGTTGCATAAGTGTGTATCATAAGCCAGTTTATATTGCCTATATAACGTGTTTTACTATACACATTTTTCTACAAAACAGTCTGAAATGTGCATTTGTGCTAATGAGCTCAATTTTACTAATCTCTGACAGAAGTACAAGCGAGAAACATGATTTACATCACAATGTCGAAGTTCATATGTTGATTTATATCACAATGTATTGATCTATATTTGTCATGCTTGTGTGGTTGTGTCCCACTGGTTGTTTTTTTGTGAAGTGTTGCCAAAACTGCTGGTTGAAGTGATAGTGCCACTGGTAGCAATCCTTAAACTGTTGTCGTTGTTTGTTAATTAGTACAAGTTAACTGTATTCTTAGCCGGATTCACATGCATGAGCTGAATTTCTAATTATATACATATACATTATAATTGTATTAACAACAAGTACTAGTTGCACTATTTGAGATGTGCAATTTTTATAACTGTGTTTTGTAATTTTTAAGACCATATTCATTGTGCGTTTGTTTACTCGAGTACCTCATTTTGGGTGACTAAATATTGTGTATTGTACTAATACAAGATGTCTACATTACTTCAAATCTAGTGGAATTACTTATGTGGTTTACCTTCTTTTGATTGTCGTAGTATTTGGTGAAAACATGATTGATGATAGTTATTAAGATGTTGTCAATATCGATATATCTTCTGTGGTGATTGAGCAAATGAAGAAGAAATACCACGATAAGCCTCAAGTTAAATGTATGATCTTTGTATAGGAAAAGCAACATATAATTGCATTATCAACAAGTACTAGTTGCACTATTGGAAATGTGCAATTTTCGTATTTATGTTTTGAAATTTTCAAGATCATACTCATTGTGCCTTTGTTTGCTCGAATATCTTAATATGTGAATCTTGTCGGGTGAGACTATGCAAGTAATCTGGTGTTCCACATTACATGGACTTCACATGCAATTTGGGACATTTAACTTGTAGCGAGGGGTTTAAGTGGGACAAATTTCTGCGTTTTTTGGTTAACTATGTAAAGCCCAGTTCAATGTGAAGAAATAGGCCCATGTTGTCCGGTACACCTCGAGAAAAGCTTAACGGGTTTTTCGGACCCGTTAAGGAGCGAATCTATGTCTTTGGGTTTCATTGCGGACCCATTTTGTTTCCTTGTGAACAGAAAACAGTGCGTACAGATTTCCATGGTTAACGGGTTTATTTTGGCAGGCCCGTTAAGGGTACCAATGTGTATCGGGTATTTTTTTCGGACCCGCTATGAATGGAAGCCTCTGAAAACAATCGGGACAGATCCTGGCGTTGGATGGAGATCTAGTGGTCATGAGGCGTTGCTCGAAAAAGTCTATATTTCAGGCATCTGAAATATAGCAAATCCCAATTTTTAATACTCAAATTTTCAATTATCCGAATTATCCTACCCAAAATTTTCAGGTAACCTGAGTCATTTTTTGAGTAAAGGAAAAATAATCAGCTTATATATTCATTGGTCTCTCGTAGTACAAGGATCAAAGTGGGATTTGGGTCCGAGAATCAACCTAAGGGGCCCGGCTGAGCTTGGCTGGGCCACGAAAAGAGGAACAGCAACACTTTTGGGCTTGGGCTTAAAATTACAAGGCCCAACCAGTCACCGGTGACCACCAACCACGCAGCCACGATCTCCGTCTCCGGGGACGACGACTGCGGCTGGCGTCCGCAGGAGGAGGGCATCCTCCTCCGTCTGCACCGCGTTCTCCCTCTCCGCGAGACTTTCCATAGAGACGTGCATTGCTCCTCCTGCCTGCAACTTGCGAAAGCAGGAGACGGTGCTTCTGCTACCAGGCGGGTGGGCGCTAGGTGTTCGACGTATTGGCGCTACTCAAACGGAAGGCCCCGAGCCGGCGATCCAGCGTCCTCCCCGGTTATACGGCCTCTTGTTGTTCTTGCAACGAGTCGATGTCTCATCTCATTGAAGTTCGTCGACAGGCACAAACTGCAGTGTCTGCGCATGTTTAGAAAAATGCCTTACCAATGAGCGCTCCTTACCAATTACAATCTACAACTGGTAAAAACAGTGATTTAACAAGATTCGTTTTCTTGATGACATGATATTAGCAACATTTATCCTTGCCTGTTTGGCCTGTCCTTTTTGTTTCCTTCATGTGATAGTTAGCGCCAATCTAGTGCGCCTAAAGGCTCTGTGTGTAAACTCTATTTCTTCTTAATACAAATGATACGCAAACCTTTTGCGTATTCGAGAAAAAAAAAAAGATAGTTCGTGCCAATCTTGCAAAATAGTACAAGACACCAACACTGCTACTTGCCAAAAGCATCAGACATGGACAACATTAATGCCATTATTGTTGAACTGCTGAACCAAAGCATACACATAGTCCCAACTTAAAAACAGATGAAATAAACAAGTCAGTTTTAAACAATAAACTGAAGACTCGAACTTCTACTCAAGTAAAGAATGTTGCACCTACCAGCCGTGGGAACTCGCCACTCCCTCGCTCCTACTCCACTCCTGCCGCCGGGCACAACTTTTTGGCTTGCCTTAGCCTCCTTTATCCACACTCCTGCTGTCTGCCGATCGTCGGCACTGTCCTTCCACTTCCTCTCTTCATCTGTAGTGCTTTCTTTTTCTGTGTATTGCCTTGCGACTTGTGTATACACCTCGGACAACCATGGTTGCTACTGCGGCCTTCTTCTTTCCAGACAAGTCCGTTGCAACTCCAGCCATATCCTTTCTGACCAACAAGGCTTTCTCCTACCTGAAGGAGTGTTCTGCTGGTGCGGATGCCAGAAATCCAAGCCATGTTCAATGCCATTGACCACCAGCAGATCAAGGAGCAGAATGTTGCTCTTGATGCCTGGCTCTGGCGTTTCCGGTCGGTTGTCGAGGAGCAAAGGACGCCATCGATGAGCTGGAGTACCGCGATGGAGGGTGAGGCGCGACCTCAAGGTCTGCAAGATAAGGTGGGTCATGCGGTACAAATCCCCCATTTTGTCAAGACACAGGGAGACATCCAGTGCCATGGTTGCTGCTGAAGTCTTTGGTCAACATGAGGAGAAGAAAGAGATTGTGAGTTGGTTGACACAGCCTGACCAAATCAAAGAGGATGCCAAGATTGTCTTTGCGAATCACTTGTCTATATTTTCGATAGTTGGAGTTGGTGGCATGGGGAAGACTACACCTGCCCAACTTGTCTGCAACGACTCAGATGTTGTAAAATGCTTTGATTTGAGCGTTTGGGTATGGGTGTCTAATAATTTTGATGCAGCCACAGTAATTAGAATGATCCTAGAATCAGTTGACAAGAAGAATCCCACTGTGGATGCATTGGAGACACTGCAGAGGATTCTCATACAGAAACTCAGTTGTAAGGAGTTTTTGCTTGTTTTGGATGATGTCTGGGAGGATGGCAGAAGAAATGAATGGGAGAAATTAATGACTCCTCTGCAAACTGGGCAAAAAGAAAGCAAGATTTTGCTGACAACCCGAATGCAGTCGGTAGCTGACATGGATAGAGCACAGTTGGTTGTGAACCAGAAATTGAATGGGTTAGATGAAGACAACAGTTTGGTTCTATTCAAAAGGCACACATTTGCTGGCATGGCTCTTGAAGGATGTGCAGAGTTCCTCTTGACCGGTGAACAGATAGTAAAGAAAATGAGAGGGTTGTCCCTTATTGACAAAAGTAGTTGCTGGGCATTTGAGAGACAATATGACACCTGAATACTGGAACCAGTTCTTGTGCGAGGACATGCGGCATTTCACGGGAAGTACAGATGACATTGTTACAGCTCTTAGATTGAGTTACCATCATTTGCCTCTACATTTGTAAACTTGCTTTAGATATTGCAGCATATTTCCGCCAGGCTATGAGTATGTGAAAGATGAACTAGTTAAAATGTGGGTTGGTTCAGGATTGATCATGCAAATGACGTATACAATCAAAGTCCAGAGGATGTTGGAGAAGAGTACTTGGTTGAACTGACAAGAAAATCATTCTTTGATTTCAAGGAAACTGATTCTGAACAATATTATATGATGCATAATTTGTTGCATGAATTGGCATGCTTTGCTTCTTTGGGGGAATGTGTGAGAATAAAACATCATTATCACACAAATATCATAAGTACAGTCAGCATCTATGGATTTCTGAGCTTGGCACTCTATCTATACCCATGTAGAAGAAAATTTCTGGTCTGAAGAATCTGCGAAGCCTCATCCTTGGAGGTGATAACAATGTAGTCAGCACAATTGTTTCAGCTGCGATTAGGGAAGTGTTAAAAGGCTTTAAGGGCGTTGCCTTTCATTTTGAGAAAGAAGGTATTAGGTTTGTCTAAGCTTTACCAGCTTCAATTTTTAATTGCAAGCGAGTTTTATACTACTGACATAACACTGAAGAAACTGAAGGAGGTTCTAGGACCAGAGGAACTGAAGGGTATTGGAAAACTTGGCTGCTTGCGCTATGTATCCTTCTTTAATTGCTGCTTCCGTGTTGGTAGATTAACATGCCTTCAAGAGTTACAAAATTTCCACGTTGGACCCAGAAAAAGTTATGATATATCTTCACTAAAGAGACCTAAACTGCCTTCGCAAGCTGGACCGGCTGTACATTATGTAATCATTTTGTGGCAATAACTGACCTGCTGGAATTTGGTACGTGTTTTGCTGCAAGTTTTTCTTGTAGCAGATGTCCTTTGTATCATTTCTATGTTGATTAGAAAATACATCTTTGATCTTGTAAAGATTGCAAGTTGTGAGTCCGCCTTCTCCAGACATGTATCTGGTGAACAACAGGGAGAGGGGGAGGATGCATCTTTTTAATTGGAGTCACTGCCAGTCTGCCACCAAGCATCAGTGTATTTGCTTTCTGATGCAGCTTGTCCTAAGTCACTTCCAGTTCCAGATGTGCCCCCCTCATTGCTGTATTTGCTTGTCGATGGCGGCA